AAACTGAATTACCATTTTTGGCATCTTTTGCATCGTATCTTTGAAATGGTTGGACCTGTCTTTGCCAAAAACTGATTAGCACGTCTCTAGGAATCGATAACTCTTTGACCGATACGGGTATATAAGCAACAAGTATTGAGATTTAGATTAAAAAAAATTCACTATCTTTTTCGAAAATAAAGTTGAGTTTTCACTAAAAATTAATCAAGGGTATATTCTATTAATATAAACTACAAATTAATGCAAATTTATAGTATCTCTAATTGTCTAAATTAAACCATACTAATACTAATTAATGCATAATAGTATAAATTATACTCTTCTTTTATCTATGAATTAAACTAATTTATTTAAAACATTTCATTCAACTTCGTGTTTTAGGAATGGATTTTATTTATGTGTCAACATGGTGTCAACGTCAACGGTAATCAGCAGTATAAAGCATAGTTCGCGCAACTATTGTTCTAAACCACTCTTATACTCTGCTTTATCAATGTTCCAAACCTCGATTTTTATAATTCAACCGTTTTTCGTTGGGCTTATAAGCATGTTATATCATACAGTGTTCCATGTAAATCATCGTAACATTCAAATTTGAGATAAAATGATTCAGAATAGCGAAAACTTTGGCGAAATTTTTGGCAAAAACATAAACTAGCAGTTTTGGGTAGGCCTAGGCACTTATAGTCAAATTGCTATTTATGTTGAGTCAAATGTGGGCAGAATTGCTAGAAATTCATACTTTTTTCACCTATTTTCAGAAGTCAGAATCTGTTTTCTCAACATTAAATGAGTCTTGTAATAAAATTCTTCAAATTTATTTTCACATCAAGGCGCAGCACAAAATTCTACCCGAGCTCTGTTTATTAAAGAAGTAGCTACGATTCCACTTCAGTACGGTAGCTAGTAATTAGTACGCATTTAATTTTATCGAAATGAAGGATGATAATAAAAAAGTTACATGATAATGAGAAATTTATGTGCGTTTTTATTACTTTCAATAAAGATTAATGCGCAAAGAATTCAATCCCATAATTATATAATTTGCAACTTAGGTAAGTAGAGATATGTTTAAAATTCGAATGCGATTTAACGAGTTCATTATACTCAGTTACTATTATATAGAGAGGGGCGTTGTGTTGCTAATTAAGAAAAAGATAATCATTTCCTTATTTATATGTATTTTGAACAATAATTAGTTAAATGAGTTAAGTAGAGATTTCCGAAAATAATTATAGCACTAATTTCACGATAAGATGACCATAGCTAATTCGATCCAGTATAACGTTATCTACTCAGTATAGAATACTGCCAGTATTATACTGATTATTATTTTATTTATCAATAATAATATTGGTATCAGAATTAGATTTTATGCGTATATAAATAAATTATATATATATATATATATATATATATATATATTAATTTCGAAATATGAACAAACAACACTCTTTTTTGCACTAATTTATTAAACAATAATTTCACAAACGTTTCGAGACTAGGTTTGTCTCATCATCAGTGTGTTATAATTTTAAAATCTAAAATATGGAAACCTATATTAGCGTTACATGTCGTTCATTATACTGAACTGAATTCTCTATCAAGGTCAAGTAGATGAGTCATGCAATATGAATTAGGAAAGAGAAGGAATAGGGCCCAGTTGAAAAATAGATGTCGCTTGGAGAAAAATATTATTTTCTTAGATTTGTTTGTATGTAAAATACGCCTGATCGCACGGCAAATAGATAGATATTTTCATAATTTTCAATACCAAAAACAAGCATAAGAGAGCGTTGCCTATATTATGAGCTCTGTTATGGCAGAATTGCCCCATAAATGTGTATTTTACATTGGTTGAAATTTGAAGCTATTATTTCGTTATATCTCTTCAAAACAAAGAAGACGTTGCGGCAGATGACAAATATTAGGAAATTAGAAAAAATCATATTTTTTATAATTAGGAGTTAACTGAGAACTTCACTGAACATAATTCGATAGTTGTTTGTTTGATACATGTTACGTGTTTTCATACAGTCCATCCAGTTTAGACAGTACTAAAAGTCAAATTGGATCTTTGTGCCCCGCCCTACCCTATACATTGAAAAAAATAGAGATGGTAAAGGAGAAATACATCGACAGATCGTGGAAAGAAATATGGGATATCAGAGGGACAAAAAGCGTTGGAAAGACAAATGTAAAATATTATAGGAAAACCTATGAAATGGTAGACGACAATGATAAAAAGTTGTCTAATCAAAAGCCCTTTTCCCAAAGTTTTTTTCTTATCTTTTAGAAAAATACATTGAGAACGATAAAGAAAGTTGTCCAGGCAAAATTGCGATCGAAGAGATGAAAAGATGAACGAAAATAATAATGAACCGCGCAACTAAAAGGTGAAGTCGAGAGAGCACAATATGGAGCAAAAAAATTCTGCTAACAGTTACAAAGTGTGATGTTTGACTACTCCAAATTGTGATTGAATAACACATGAGTGGAGACCAATTTCGATTCAGAAAAGAAAGAAGTATCAGAGGATGCCCGGATACTAAAGAGAACATCTTATTTTTTAGATTGGTATATTAATTAGAGAAACTGTAGGCTATTTAATTTTTATGAAAAGAAGCGAATGAACATGGTCTCAAAAATACTGTTGATTTTTCGAAAAAAAGTACAGCATTATGAAGTAAAGGAGATTGGGTAACGTTGTGTCAGTTTTTTTATGGTCAGCAATAATTCTGTTAATATAGTTTGAAAAAAAATAACTAAAACATTTTTTCTTTTTTTAATTTTGTTTTTGTTTTTTTTTATTTTTTCTAATTTTTATTTTTTTATTTTTTTTTATTATTATTTTTTAAATTTCTTTTTATTTATTTTTTTATACTCGAAAAAAATTGTGAGTCTTCAATGTATTTTATGAATTATTAAAAGTAACATCAAAGGCTTTCAACCTTTTAATACCCCGCCTTTTATTTAATAATCTAATTTCATAAATACTCAAATGATATTATAATTTATTTATTAGGCTACAAATTAATATACGATATTAGGTAAAAATATATAAATAAATAATAACTTATTTTTGTTTTTTTTCATATGCATATTGCTTCAACATTTCTGGTTTATTCTCAAAAGTAGTATTTTGGAACCTCTTAGGGTGCGCGCCCACAGATTGGAAACCACGGATCTAATGATATACAAAGCAGACATGCTAAAATTGCATTACATGTATAAAACTGTTTTAAATAGCCAAGTCAATCATACTTAACTAATTAAATAATTAACTATAAGATTTGACTTAAATTAATTAAATAATCATGATCAAAGCACCAGTCAATCATCAACATTTATGTAAGACTATTGGTGTATGACATTGTGCCTTAACGCAAATTGCTGGAATTTTCCATACCGAAAATTATTTATAGAGATTTTAATAGTACGTATAAATTTTGTTTACATTTCTGTGGGTTCTGTAACATGGTTTGTCCGTTAAACGGCGACGCGGCGCCTACGCGCTTCGATTCTCTATAGCGCTAAGGTATTACGATTGCTTTGAAAAAAAGTTTAAAATTTCCAAAATATTTTAAAATAAAGAAAACATTTTTTTTCAAAAAGTCAAATATTATTTTTTGGTACGGGAAGTTCCAGCAATTTGCCTTAAGGCACGATGCCATGCACCACTAGTTTTCAAAGCAATCACGCTACGTTAGCTGCGTAAGAACGAAATATCAAAGCGCGAAAGCGCCGCGTCGCAGTATAACGGTTAAACATTGGTACGAAGCCCATAAAATAACCCATAACCCCAACTGTAAACAAAATTTGTACTTATCAATAAAATCTCTATAAAATATCTGTTAATTTGATGTGCATATGTCTAATGATCATTTTTGACCGTCAAATGACTGTTTTGTTACATTTTTTATTGGATCACCAAAACTGCTGAACCTGCCTTTCGAAAAAATTAATCAGAACTGCGTTTCATCAATATAAATAAAATGTTTTTTGAATCATTCAAATCGGACGCTCTGTTTTCTCAAAAACTGAATTATCATTTTTGGCACTTTTTGCCCCGTATCTTCGAAACAGCTGGACCTGCATTTGCCAAAAACTAATCAGCACGTCTCCCTATCAATACGAATCGAACGTGTTTTGAATTACTCAAATCGGTTGATCCTTATTCACAAAATCGTCGACAAAAATTTGTATCCGAACACATACACACCCGCATACATCCATTTTTTTAAGGTATACCAAAATGTTCAGAAACCTTTCAAATTTTTCGTTTTTATATATAAAATCGTATTCTACTCTTCAAGACCTTTCAAACAATACATCACATGCCATAAAAGCACATTCTAAATTTTTTGAAGTGAAACTTCTTTAGATTCGTTTACTAAAATTCACAAAAAATTCAATAAACAATATTTATTGTCACGTTTTTATATATAAAATCGTATTCTACTCTTCAAGAGATATATAAAAAATTTCATTCTCGATTTTTTTGCGATTGCTATAACCTATGATTATAACTTACCCTACGGAATGTTAAAAATTACTTAAAATTTAAATTTTCGATTTAACCAACAACGAACTATTTAATCCAAACTATAATAATGGTGGCCATTTTATAACCTTAATGGTGTTCCTTTGTTTCCTAACAAAATTGACGAATATTTCTACAGTGCTATGTAATTTTAACGTCTGCGGTTTATTTTGGTATATTCATATATAATATATAAATAGTAAAAACATTTCTGAATTTGTTGTAGATTTATTAATCCTATTAATATATTTATCATGTTGAACAGTTAAATAATATTCATAAGATTCATGAACGACTTTAAAATTGTTAGTTCAAAACATCCTGCTCGTTACTTCGTTCAGAATATAGTAGCGGGCTTTAATTTTTTCGTGTGAAAATTTGAAAATCCCACTTTAAAGTAAAGTTGTAAAACCGTACCTATAAATGGGATATCTATGGTGAAAACTATGCAATTTGACGTAAATACTTGTATGCATCACTGTTAATCATAAAACAAAGTTATTGTATCTAACCGGATTGTAAACAATTTTTTTTCTTCCACACCTTATATTTGCAATATCATTAAATATTTTTGGAGATTGCACGCCCGCGTAATCGTGACAGATATTTGTACTACTAGCGCACAGTTCAGATTGTTCGTAATAAAAAATAAACAAATAGTGTGGTATGCAATGCAACAAATATTTCTGACAGAAATAATAAACATAGTGAATGTTTATTGGTGATCGGCACGCGTTAAGTGTATATCCCAAACTGAATTTTTCTTGTGTAAAAAGCAAGATGGAGGATCTCGCGGTAGAGGTATGCGGCGAAAATGGAGCGTATTATAAGGTCAGTATTGTGCAAAGTATACGTTTATATTTCGAATTATGACGAAAATTGGGAAGTTTAACATGCCCCGCAACTTTTTGTCCATAATTTATTATTTTTTCTCGCATACTTTATTCCAATAGAGTATGCGAAATTCTTGGCATCACGCGCTTTTGCGGCTGCCCGAGACGCCATGTCCACTTGACAGGGCGTGAATTTAGCCATGTGCTTGGGGGCAATCATCAATGACAAGTGCATTGGAGCCCGAGAAAGGTCCTAGACTTAGTATCATCCTCTGAGCACAAGCCCCGAATGACATAACCTTAAGCGGCAATGCATAGTCGACTACCAGATTACCTATTACATACAAACAAATTTATCGTTGACTTTGTTCCAGTGCGAAATAAAAGAGTTGTAAGATCTCTAGCTAAATTAAGTTGAACTTGCAATTGAATGAAAGGTTTGCTGAATATTGATAATTGAATGTCTGATATAGTTATTGCTCAATATAGTTATAATTATGTACACGACTGATTTTTCGATGATGAATTCTAATAGGTACCTAATTATTTATTTACTCATCAATGAAAACTGAATATGTATAATACATTTTACAATGATAAGAGAATTGTTATTTTAATACCATTAAATTTGTAAATATCATTCAATTCAATATTTGGAAGTTAATGATAATCGATATTACAAATTTGATGTACTTTTAAATCGTTTATGTTTTACGTTGGCCGTGCAAATATACATATAGTTTGAATTTTCTTCATTGGTTAGTGATAAATTGTATATATGTATATATATATATATATATATATATATATATAACACTGTATATTATTTTGTGCATAAATGTTACATGTTCTTATGCTCGAAATAATGCGATTTGTTGAATATTAATATTTGTTTTAAATTCTGTTTTTGTAACTGAATTGAACTGCTTCCAGGGCGTTGTTACTGAGGTGCATGACGATGAAGTGTCCGTTGCATTCGAGAATGAATGGCAACCTGAATCCAGGTTTCCATTCTCCTTAGTCAGACTTCCTCCTAAAGAGTCCAGGTCTACAGAATTTACGGAAGGGCAAGAAGTTGAAGTCTTCTCTAGGGCAAATGATTTGGAGGCCTGTGGTTGGTGGAGAGCCACTATAAAAGTATATTTTTGTTTGTGTTTCATTACAATTAGAGCTTTGTGTGTAATTTATTTAACTTTTTATTTATTTATTGTAGATGGTCAAAGGAGATTTCCATGTTGTAGAATATTTAGGATGGGAAAGTACCTACACAGAAATAGTAGCATCAGATAGACTTCGAGCAAAAAATACAAATCCTCCTATTGATGCAAACACATTTTGTAAATTTGAAATTGAAGTACCAGAAGAGAATCGTGAGGAGTAAGTATTAAGAGATGATTATTTTATTCAGTATTATTTTACTCAGTTTCAGAATAGTCTATTTTTGATCCTGAATCCTAGAATATAAATAGAATCGATATTCAAAAATGATGTTTAAAGTAAAACTATTTTTTAAATAAAGAAATAGCTGTTTGTACAGAACATTTAGTTAATGTGTAACATGTGTATTACTATATTTGAATCCTTATGGTAAAATTTCTATTTAGCGCGAAAATAGAGAACGCTCATAAAGATTTTCAAAAGGCTATAGGAGCTGCTCTGTGTCGGTATATACCTGAACGAGGAGTTTTATCTATTGTATCACGACGTGAGGTATCTAGGAAAAACTCAGCAATTCTCCAAGGAATGCATTTTCGTAACTTGGGTCGGAAGGTAAACATTTTATACAAATTTTTATACAATTGTCAAAGAATTTGTTTTATTTGTGATTATTATTAAATATTTCTTTCTTCAAAAATACACCATCTAATTATTCTGTTAGCAGTTATTCTGTGTTCTATGTTTGTCTCAATAATTTTAAATTATATTCTGAAATTTATTAGCTGCTTATATATAGAATATTTTCAACATTCTTTTTTTTACTATGACTTTTTTAACATAATATTTGAATTTGTAGGTTGTTTTACTGAAGAGAACCGAAGAAGCAGCTCGGCAACTAGAATCAACCAAACTAAATAATCAAGGAGGGTGAGTACTAAATGGAATGATTGAAAAGATGTAAAGACTTTACTTACAAAATGAGATTTGTTTTTATTTTAGATTTACTGATGAATTTAGTGTGCGAGACGATTTAATGGGTTTGGCGATAGGTGCTCATGGAGCTAATATACAAAATGCCCGAAAATTAGAAGGAGTAACAAATATAGAATTGGAAGAGAATTCTTGTACCTTCAAAATCTATGGGGAAGTAAGTTTATTTTTTCATTTCTAATAGGGTGATCAAACAGAATAAGTTCTTATAAACTTCTTCAGATAAATTATTAATTTTGATTAAGAATTTTGCATATAATTTGATTTTTAGTAACATACTACTGGATACTAAATATTAGATAGTTGTTATTAGTAGATAACTTTTGGTTTGTTGAAATATTTCAACTGCGTGTGATATTATGAAATCATAGCAAAATATATAACAAGTCATTTCAAATAATAAACCTATAATAATCAATACATAATTTATAATCTTTAGTATCATGTAAGTTTTACTGTGAAATTCAATTATTTAGAGGAATATTAAGAATTTAAATACAAGTCCAAATATTTATTGATACATTTTGGACTTTTGTTTGTTTCTTAATATAGACAGATGCAGCTGTAAAAAAGGCACGGTCATTATTAGAGTATAGTGAGGAATCTATCCAAGTACCTAGGAACTTAGTTGGGAAAGTAATTGGAAAGAATGGACGAATTATCCAAGAAATTGTTGATAAAAGTGGAGTGGTTCGTGTGAGTATCACATTGAAATTTAATTTTAAAGAAGACATTTCTGTTTAAGTATAAAGAAGATAGCTCTTCATTCCTATTATCTATTGACAAATTTAAAATAGGTTTGCATTTGAAAGTTGCTATCTTCCTTATGCGAAACGAACATGCCTTCTTCTGATGTATGCTTCCTTCTAATTTGTGTATGTTTCTTGCTAAAATAAAATATATTATAATAAAAATAACACATTTAATTGGTTTGATAATTGGTTTTGAAACAGATATTTTTATCGTTAGATCATTTTTCCAAATTCATTTACTGGCATTAAAGCAGCTTAATTATTAAATTGAGTGTGTTTTTCTTATTTATATTTTATTTTACTATAGGTGAAAATTGAAGGAGATAATGAACCTCGCCCAACAATACCCCGGGAGGAAGGTCAAGTTCCGTTTGTCTTCGTTGGCACAATGGACAGTATTAGTAATGCCAAATTGTTGTTGGAGTACCACTTAGCCCACCTAAAGGTAAATTTAGAATCAATTGCAGTCTTTCACAATTTTTACTTAAAATGTAATGAGTATAACTGTCATTTTTATGATGCAAAAATATTTAGTATTAGTAGTAAATATGTATATAGTATATATTTACTACTTTTTACTAAATATAATGTAGTTTAAATTACCAATGCTTTTTCTAAATTCAAGTTTTGAAATGAATGAATTTTGCTAAATTGAAGTTTTGAATGAATTTGAATTGACATTGATGGATTATCAGAATTCTATATGGTGATTTATTTTGTGCAGTTGGCATTTGTTTAGTGTTTTAATTATTTGAAACAGTACAAAAATTGATATCAACAGTTGTGAAGTGAGGCAGTGATTTTGAATACAAAGCTTAATACTTTACTACAAAAACATTTCATGATCTAAAAACAAGTGAACATAGATATAAGTTCATATTTCTGTAATAGACTGCTTCTAGGAATGCTTATTTTATAAAATCATGAATCAGTTTTTTATGCTACATTATAATATGAATGTGACCGTGAGTCCTTCCTTACCAAATCATGTTGTACCCTGCAGGAAGTAGAACAACTTCAAAAATCCAGGTTTGAAATTGAACTTCAGCTGAGAACAGTACATGGGTCAAGTGCATCACAGAACTTTCCCACAAACAGACGAACAGATCGTGGTTACAGCTCAGAAATGGAAGGCGGTCGTGCTGGACGAGGAGGTAACAGAGGCCGTGGAAGAGGTGGGGGTGGTCGGACCACTCCTAGATATCATGACCATAAATTCACAAACCACGTGGACTCAAAACCTCAAGTTCCTAGAGAAGACAGGCAGAATAATAGTAGGGGCGACAGAGATCGAGAAAGGGATCGCGAGAGGGATAATGCGAGGGAAAGGGGTAATGACAGTGCACGTGGGCGCAATAATAATCGACCTAACAGGGGAGGACGCGTTCCTAATAATAAGAGTAATACCCCTTCTGAGCGCAAGTGATTTTAATATCGTTTTCCCATCGATCAATTACCGCTTGCTGCCTGACTTGTTCACCGATTTTGTTGTCTAAATGAAACAACATATGTAACTTCCTTCAAAGGTACTTTTTATTTACTTCTAATTGATATTATCGTGATGCAAGTATTATTAATTTTTTTGTGAAAAGAAGTGTTAAACATCCAAACAATAAATTAAATTGTACTCTCAAGTGATATTCCTTTGTAAAATTTCTCAAATTTTTGAACTTTATATGAAATCTTCTACTTGTTTGTGTTGTGTAAAGGGAGTAACACTTCTGAAAGCATGTATGTCTAACTTTTTTTATTTAGTTATTTCTAATAAAGTTATACACAACAATAATATGAGTGTTATAAATATTCAATTGGGAGTCAGTGTATATACTTTTGAATGTTTAGTTGTATACTAAACTGCTATAATCGTAATGTTCGATCTACAAAATAAAAATGAAGAAAGGATAAAAATGTTCTTTGAAGGATTCCTTCAACAGGCAACTATGACTCTGTAAGACTGACCCGGCTTTCGACTCTTAAACTTGATTATGGATCATAAAATAAGGCATTAAATGAAATACATAAATTATTACTTATTAAGTAATAGCAAAAATATGGTTATAATATTTCCCAACATGGAGGGAACTATATTGATTATGATAATCACAACTTCGTCTTATATAACAATTATGGTATATGACATTATTTTGTCAAAATTCAACAATTGGCTTTTTTGTGTACGATAACCTTAGTACTTTATTTGTACCACGAATATACCATTATTTTGCATGTATATATATATAATTACATAAAAATCCAACAAATATGGGATTGTTAAGCTGAAAATTATAATTTGCATATAATTTCAATAATATTATCTTGGTTAGGTTTTTTTTTTGCTATTAATAATAAATTGTTGGTTTTGTCTTTATTATCTTAAACAAAAATTGAATTTCGTTTACAAATTTTAGTCATTTTTCACCTATTGTGTCACATTACATGAAAATATATTATAAATATTTTTCTGATAGAATTTTCTCTAATTACATAAATTAAGCATTCACTGTGTATCAAATGAAAAATTGAAACATTTATAAGAGTAATCTAGAGTAAAATGCTACATACATAAGATTCAGGTAATTGAAAGAACACAATAATGCAAGAATTTGCTATGAATGCTAATTCAATATTGTTACATAGTGTTGTTTACTTTGTTGACGCTTTTTATTTCATAAGTAGATCACTAAAGTAGTAAAACTATGCATTGATATATATGATTTGTTAAATATTTGTAGTAAAAAAGTGTTAATGTTAAAGCACATTACTTTTTTTTTAAATAATTATAATGTTTGTCAAAATGGTGCTCAGTGATCAATAACATTTTCTACGATATTCAGCATTTTTGAAGTCATTTATCATATGGGTTAGTATTGAAGATTTGTTTGGTTATTTAAAATGTTTAAAACTATACATGTTATATCTTCGTAATATCTTTCTTGTAGCATATGATTTTAAAATGGAATAGAATGTCATAAAATTCACTTCATTTATATTAATTCATAGAACTTAAATTAATTCAAAGCACCAAGACATTTGAGTTTTGTAAATTTTGGAATAATATTGTTGTTTGATCTTATGTTTGTATAGCACAAATATGCTTAATCTTCAAATATTTATACCTATCTTGAATTATATAACGTGACAAAAGTAGCATCATGGAAATTGTCAACATAATGAAGTCTCTGATACAAGTATATGTAACATGGATGTATATTTCTATATGTGTGTAACATATAGGCTCAAATATATATCAGTATGTCTGTATAAATTAGCAAATGCACTTTGTATTTGCTAAAAATATATACTTGCAAGTAAACTTGGTGACTTCAAAATAGAATCTAGATATACATATATACTGATTTTGTGAGCAACTTTTAACTAGGAGAGTTCCTAAGTTTTGGACACGTCAGTGTGTGGATTTTCCTGTTACCTGATTGAGAGCTAATAATTGAGATTCTTGGCCCTTGGTGCCACAATCTTATTTGCTCTGATTTGAATACTATATGAAATGCATTGTAATGCAGTGTCTGTATTTTAAAACGTGTTTAGACATTTTCTATACATAAAAAAATAATTCACATACAGTGTTTTATTCATTTATTTTTGTTTCAAATTTCTTCTTAGTTTTTGAATTGACTTCTTAGTTATATCTTATACATTATATGCTAAAAGCACATACATGTTGATTAATATTCATATATGCCAAATGTTCAAATAATATAACTGGAAAAGAGTTTCACTTGCGATTCTATATAAAAATCACTAAGCATCCATAATGAATTGTTACCATATATAAATAAGCATAAATGTTTGTTACATTATTCACTTCTTTAGTTTAATAGAGTATTAATGATATTATGACCTAGAAATGGTGCGAAATCGTAATATTAGATACCGACGATATTTAATTATTTAACTTCGTGCTCTACAAATACATTTTATTTAAGTATGGACGTGAACGGTAATCGGCAAGAGCGATTCTTTGTTCCAATCCTTTTTTATACTCTTCTTTATCTATGTTCCAAACCTTAATGAATTTTTATAATTTCACTAGTTTTCGTAGCATATAACATATAGGTATGTTATATATTTATAGTTTTTAATTTAGACTATGAACTCTATCATGATATAAAGTTTCATAAAAATTATCCAAAAAATTTTTTTAACGATATCCCGGCCAATCCCGGCTGATCTTAACCAGAAACCTAATCAACACGATTACCAACAGATATTTTTTGAACGGTTTTATAAATTTCAAACTGAGTTGAGGATTTTTTGCAAAAACGGTGACGAAAAATGCAAATTCTAAAGAAACGGTTCGGGACTAAAGCTATATAAAGCGTTTTGTAAAAAATATATGTAAATATATTTATTTAAGTATTTTAATAGAATACCATAGTAACTACGAGTATATTGCACGTGTATACATAAAAAATAAATGAAACTAGTGGTGTATGCATCGTGCCTTATGGCAAATTGCTAAAACTTGACGTACAGTAACGAAATGTTCGAGGAATATTAAAGGTTTTTAGATTATTTTAATAACTGCAATATTATCTAATTTTTATAAGAATTGTATAAACTGAATTACAAAGTTAAAATTATTTATTTAAAGTATATAAGTGAGCTTTAGATTTTTGGCCATAATTAAAATAAAAATCTGATCGTTCTCGATTTACAAAAGTATTTTTTTTTGCTGTTTTTGAAAAGCAATTGTTTTGTCAACACAAGCAGAAAGTTTTTTTGAATCATTCACATCGCATGCTTATAGTTCTCTCAAAAACTGCCATTTTTTGTACATTTAGCTCTGTATCTTCGAAATGACTGAACCTGCTTCTCCTTCTCCTAATTATTTTCTCAAAATCGGATACTCCGTCCTCTCAAAAACTCGATTTCTATTTTCTGCATTCTTTGCTCCGTATCTCCGTAACGGCTGGAGCTCCCTTTGCCAATAACTAATCAGCACATCTCCCTATCACCATCTATTTTTTATTTTATTGTAGAAACAGTCTGTAATTCTATTGTGTATATTTCTTCCCATATTTTTCGGGCTGTTAAAAAATTTCGTGACTAATCTTACTTCACGCGAAGCAAAAAAATTGGTTATTGGTCTTCATGGCATGACACATTTATTAAAAAATGCGTCAGAAAATTATTGTTTTTTTTATAATTGAGTGTAATTGGAATCGTTACAATAAACGATCGGTCATACTAAGTAAGTGGATTCTACTGTGGTTGGTTTTTTAGAAGTATGTTAATAAATCCGAAATGTTAAAGATGTATATGGTAATCAAGTAATACTACTAGATTGCTGTAGATTGACATATAAGTAGGGGAGGGTACGGTTGGGCCAGGGTACGATAGTGACAGACATTATCAAAGCTAAACTGATTTTCAGATAGGGTCTAAAGGGAAAAAAAAGATTTAAGTTGGTGCCTTACATGATCTGTAAACCGCATTACTTTAAAAGAGTCAAAAGTAACTTCTTTATGATCGAACACTTTTAATCATAACTGTAATAAGGGTAATTGTATGTACAGATAGATTACTTTTTCTGTAAGTTGAACGTTAGTAATTATTTACCAGCAATTGGTATTTGCTTGGATATTTTTTTAGCTCATAATATTGATTTGTTTTCAAAAATGTGCGTTGGGTACGATTGTGACAAATTTTGTGGGTACGGTTGTGACATGTATTTCTTGTACTTTTCGGGTGAAGATTAAACAGATAAAAAAATCTAACTTAACTAAGACAAAAAACGAAAGAGAAAGGAAAATGAAAATACAAGAATACAAGAAAAAAAATCACAAAAAAATCTTATTATTTTTTTAATTATGTTTTGTTAAATATTGTTTATGGTGTTTTGTGTATGTGTTACATATTATTGTTATCAACGATAATAAAAGTCGTGTTAAACTATTTTGGTGTTTACAGCTGTTGTTTTTAAATTATTTTTATGCTTGTCACCACCGTCTCTGGGAGTGTGGACGGTTGTGACACTCGCCCTTTTTTGTATGATTTAATTTTATGACAAATCCATCGTATTTAAGGTCAGTATTTAATTATTTTCGCGTAGACAATTACTATTTAATTTATTTTTCTCCCAACTAGCTGATAAACTATTACAATATTATTGCTGATAAAAAAATAGCTCAACCATACCCAGGTCTCTCCTACATTGTAATAATTCTAGATTGCTGTTGATTGAAATATAGGTATTATCTCAATTCAATGAACTGCGGTCAAAATTGAATCGTTTTGTGTCTTTTTTTAACAATCATTTACTAACAGCATTATTTCCTAAATCGCTTTAAGGGGGTTGTTCTTTTTTTTGTTACAAAAAATGCAAGGTATTTGTTTTTGTTTTTCTCGAAATGTATTGATCATAGAGATATGCGGTTTTTTTTAAACAAAAATTACAAAATCATAGACTATTAAGAAATTTTATAATTTTTTTTGTCACCGTCATTTGTTAACCAGAGCGCGCCAAAGTGGGCATTGCAAAATCGATCTCTTTTCTGGTGCCACAGATAAATCCGTTGCGCATCGCCTGAAACAAAAAAACGAAACTACGTTGAAGAAGAAGTTTGAATCCAGTCCCCCTACCAAAATAAAAGAAAAAAAGCAAGAAGGAAAAAAATGGCATCTATTTAAAAAAAAGTGAAGCTTCGCAAATTTTTTTTGCGTAATGTTATCAAGTTGTTTGAGATAGGGGGACTAGGTATTGCAGTGGTGAACATATTAAAAAAAATGCAAGTCGATCCGACTTGTAGTTTTTTTTAATTTGTGGCACCGCATTGAAAAAAGTCAATTTGAGAAAAACGTATTTAAAGTTTTTAATATAATGTACTAAATACACCATTTAATTTAATGCACTAATACACCATGGCGTTCAAAGGTGCTGACACATTAAAAATATCATGTGCATGACGTATTATAATGAAAAAGAGAGCAGCTGGCATACAATAGCTCGCGGAGCGATAAAAAAACGGTTTCAGAGGATCATACATATAGAGAGATATATATATATATATATATATATATATATATATATATAACTTCATCAAAAAATAGATATTGAGATGATTTTTTTTTAAAATAATTCTAAGGTTTTTAGCTTTCATAATATCAAAAAATCGAAAAAAAAAATAAATAAAAAAAGAACAACCCCTTTAATGAAGTAGTTAGTTCTTGAGAAATACGT